AGTCCTGCCTTCGCCATGAAAGCCAGCTGGGTGACTTTGGGCCACTCCAGTGGCAGATTAAGGCTCCCTGGTGCCCTAAGCAGTGACACATCTTGGTGCCCCTCCCTCCTGTGTACACATTGTACAAGCGAAGCCACATTCCCAACTTTGTGGTGCCCCCCTTGGGCCTGGTGCCCTATGCACGGGCTTCGTCCACTTAATGGTTGATACACCACTGGGCCAGTCCCTCTCTCTCAGCCCAACTCACCTCACAGGGTTGTTGTTGTGGGGAAAAGAGGAGCAGGAAGGTGCATCGGATGGGTTGGCCACCTTGAGTTATTTGTAAATAATAAAGGCAAGATAGAAATTAACCTATAAATTAATAAAGTGCAAAACAGATCAATATGGCTTGTTGAAAAAAAATTGTGATTGATAAAACCTCCTTTAGGATTCCGTGCATGTCAGTCATCACCCCAAATCAAGGAGGGGGCCTTCCTCGGAGAGATGGCAGCCTGATTCCCTTTTGACACACAGGCAAAGCTTTCATCATGTCGTTGTGATACACAACCCCTGTGCATAAGCCCCTGGGTAGAAGCTTTACAAGCAGGAAGAGACTTGTACCTGAACAAAGCACCCTACTCCAGCACTGTCCTGTCATGCAACAACACACCACAAAGGATCTAGCAAAGCACGACAGGAAGAGGGAGAGTGTCTAAAAATCCTCCCCAATGTTTTCCTCAGTCTTCCAGAGAAATAGTTGCTGAATCCTCTGGCATCTTGGCTGTAATCTGAGTTCCATGTTGGAGCCCCAAACAAAAGAAGCTTCCAAATCCTAGCCTGGGAGTACACCTATTGTTTGGGATTATTGGAAGGCTTTCGTTTATTCTGCATGGTGCATTCAGATAAACAATGAAAAATTAATTTTAATACCTAAAACAGCAAATGCCTTTACCAAAAATCTCATGCAGAAAACCTCAAGGTACAGAATGACCCCAAAATGTCATCCAATTTTGCCATGAAATAAAATACATTGCACTGTTTCCTTAAAAAAAAAAAAAAAAAAAACCCACCACTCTTCAATATTTAAAAGCCATTTTCCCCTCCAAAGAAACCCAGGCAGGGCTTGTTTGAATTTTTACAGACTTCATGCCTACAAATTACATTTAATTCCTTCAATTTGCTAATGGACATTTGTTGATTTCTTTTTGGCACTCAACCGAGAAATATGAAGCGGTGGATTTTTCTCAAGCAAGATGCCAGTTCAGTCTGCAAAGCATTTTCTCTGAGGTGGGTTCTGACTCATATCTTATCTGCTGCACATACTTCTGAGTAATGCTTTATGCCTCCAGTGGCTAGCCAGACATCCACAAGTAGGTGTGGAAAAGACCCCTTCTTTACTATTTGGTTCTCGGAGGAATTTCAGTTCTAATGTAGGAATTTCTATTGATATATTATTAATAGCCACTGCAGACACTCCCTATCATCACATTTTGACACAGTAAATTCCATAACTAAATTACGGATTGTGTTGTACATCTCTATGGGCAATGACTTTCATGCAATGGGACTTGGGTCTAGTTTGAGAGAGATGCTCTTCTGGACATCAGCAGTGAACTCATCAGAAGGAACTCAATAAGTAAACCACTTGTTTCTTTATGGAGCAGCCTTGCAATTTCGGTCTATTGCAGTTGTTAGAAATTCTGTTTATATAAAGCACCACACACAGCAAACAAACAGTACACTCACCATGTGCTTTACTGCTCAACTATTGTGCTGTAACAAGAAACAGGAAACTTTACTCAGAACAAGAGCACAGAGTATATACCATAGATCCAAACTTGTAAATACTGCCATCTATTGGCTGAATACTACCATAGCTGTTGCATAGAAATAAATTCCAACAATGAATTCCAACAACAGTCAATGAATTCTGGGCACCTCCACAGACTGAAACAGCTGGTAGGTAAGGCTGAAGTTTTGGTAGGACACATTGAAGTATAGTATTTGCCATTCAATTCCCAGTGACTCTGGATCATTAAACATTAAAAAAAAAACAGAACACTACAGAAAACGCTAAAATGAGACAAGAGAGTCTGATGCCCGGGGAGAAAAGGAAGGAAGAAAAGGGCCAAAGCCTGACCAAAGAGCAGGCCTTCAAGGCCCTTGGAAATCCTTCTGGGTTTGGATTTCAGAGGGACCCTCATATTTCAGAGGGCATAAAATAGCAGGCAGACTCTGGGAATTCTTGATTTATTCTGTTGACTTTAAGTAACTAGTGTTTGTCCAAGAGGACCAATACCTCCTATGGAAAAAGCTGGTGGGATTTTCTCTGAAAGTTTTTAAAATGCAAGCAGATAAACAAGTATTAAATACTGCAGCTGGCTGGAGAAGTCTGGGAGTTGAAGTCTGAACTTCCAGAAATCTTAAAGTAGCCAAGTTGGAAAAAACACCATTTTAAGGTAATGTAAGAAAGTTGAACTTCCACTAACTCACCTGATGTTCAGTTATGAAAGGGCTTACATGCAAGGAAAATGGTCCAGGAAGCAAGCAAGCCAAGGTAAAAATCTATGTTTTTCTTTTTTTTTTTTTCAAAGAAAAATATTTTTGCAAAGGAAGGCTGGGCGCTCCCACTAATGCTTGATTCTGCATCGAATCAAACTGTTAGTTCAGGTGGCATCTGGAATCAGCTCATACCCTGCTTAATGTTGGCTCTGCTCGCTCAGCCTAGGATTTCTCCTTCAACATTTAGTATCGTGTTTCTCTCCAAAACATCATTTAAGCTGTTAAAATGAGGGAAAATTTGGAAAGAAGGTTTGGGTTATTTTTTTTGCTTTTGATAAATGCAAAAATTCCCCCACCTCCTCCTCCAAAAGGAAGAAAGCCACCTTGAGTTGGCTTTGTCTCCTAAAGAACTAGCTACCATGAAATACAACAAGACTTACAAGATTCAGGGAGGGGACTTATTATTATTTAATCAGCAATGATTCATTTTTTTGGGGGGGGGGGGGATCCAGAACATATTAAGGGTGGATGAAAAAAAAAGAAAATTTGCAGAACAAAAACAAGTGAACTTTCTCTTAAAAACAACAACAAAACAGCCTAAAGTCTAACTTGGAGATGCAAACAATCCACAACTTATCAAAGCATCAAAGCAATACTGAATGTGTGTCACGCTCTGAACATATATTTATATTTTAACATTCTAAAACAAGTGTGGGATGAAACAGAAGGGGAAAGTGGCTGATGCTTTTCATTGTCATTTTTTATTACCTCTTTCGGCTTAAAAGGAGCCAAGAGAACTCCTTGGTGGAGGCAAAGAACCAGGCTAAATTATTCTCCTAGGACTGCCCTCCCCTCATTGTTCTGAAGTAGGTACATCAGAAAAGCTGCCCAGATGTTCCTCACATCTGGGTGCGAATCAGATTCAATTCAGTCTCTTTGCACAGCAGTTTTTCTTCTGTATCCCAGAAGAGAAAGTAAGATGGATAAAATCAGGAAAAATACAAGCAACCAAAGATGCAACATTTTGAAACTCTCCTGAGTAAAAACTTGGGAAAAGCTCATGCAAAAGTGCAACACACATGACTGTGCTTGTTTTTCTAGTTCACCAAACTGGGAAATAAAATGACACAGATTTGATCTCGTGATGCATCAAGTGAGAAATGTAACTTTTAACGGTTCTTTTGGAGCCGACATCCATTCCCTGCCTCGTCCTCCACGGCAGTCTTTGAGCCCTGGAACCCGCTGGAGTTAACAGCAGAGGGCAGCCGAGGAGCTTCCGGGATACTGAGGCAAGGAGCATCTTTTCCCATCCATCCAGGCCACGGTCAGAAACAGGAGCAGCAGGGGAAGCATTTTGCTCACAGTCTGACCGCCTCTCACAGCCTGCAGACGGTGTGACCCGGTGCTCTTCAGACAGAAAACACCTCATGCTTAGAAGACGCAAACACTTGCCCTAAATAAGTGAAGTGCTTCATTTGCAATTAGTCTTGAACGAATATAGTTCACAGTGCGTTTCTCTGACGCACTCAGAGTATAATCAAAATTGAAATGACCGTTTCTTACTTCCCCAGATCCAAGCAGTTCATTTGTTTCCCTGCTTTTTCTACAAACATTCGTTGGAAATCAACTACAACGAACTGAGTTAGAACAGGAAAAAAAATGAAAAGGTGAAAAAAAAGAAGAGTGGCATTTGATTTCTACATACCAGGTGATTTCCAATGTTTCCTATTTAAATCATTTTAATATAAAATATTTAAATCATTTTAATAGGAAACATGGGAAATTGTCTGATGTCAAATGCTACACTTCTTTCTTTTTCACTTTTTTCATTTTTTTCCTGTTCTAATTTAGTTCATTGTAGTCCTTAGTATTGTGCTTACAACTTTTAATAAAATATATTTTGAAACAAATAAATAGAATCTTCCCCTGAAAGAGAATCTTCATATATCTGAGATAAGAATTGACAGGACTACCTCAAGTGACCACTACCTCAAAAGTGCTATTGATCAGGTGGGCATAGAAAGGTTTTTACACATTCCTGTATTACTATATCTTTTTTAAAAATGCCACCCATTATTTACTCTGGTTCTGCAGAAATGCATGCCACGAAGTGGTCACATTTAGTGGTTTTATTTTAAAAAACATATTGTGAAGAAGCAGTAAGAAGGACACAAGGGAATTGCAAGACGTTAGACATGCATGCTTGTGTTTTAATATTTGACAAAGCAGAATAGTCCATGGATGAGAGGCTGGTGCTCCTGGAGCTGATCTCCACTTACTTCCCCCAGGAAATCAGACAAAAAGCAGAGAGAAAGAGTCAGGAAACAGGCACTCTTGATCCATGCACTCTCAAAGACCGGAAGGACTTTTAAAAAACAGAACAGAACCAAGTTGTCAAGTTGAGGAAGGAATGGAAGCAGAATCTTAAAATATTCTGGAAGGAAGTTAGCATCCATTCAAGTGAACCCAATAAGGGAAGAGTTTTCAGCAAGGGGGTCAATTCGGGGAGAGATACTTACTGTGCCAGGCCTAGGATAGGGAATTCGCCCATCGTACTGAACCCAGCGGTGGTCCACGCTTTCTTTGTGGGCATAATAGCCGCTGAATACTGCTCGGATGTCGGCCATGCTGTAGACACAAACCGCTGAGCCCTTGAACACAGAACTGGGAAGGACACAACCATGTCATTAATCAAGTTTAACGGAGGCCTGAAAGCACCACAGACCTCAAACACAGCTGACATATTAGCCCCCCCCCCCCCCACAATTTGCTAAAAAGATATCCTCCTCCTTGCAAATCCACTCCATTTTAGACTGGTGGTGTTAACTAGGTTGGGTCATGAAACGTCTGCAAGAAAACAACCTAGCTCATATAACACTCACGTCAACCCTGAGCTACCAATATTCTCCTTTAAATCACCAATTTTCTGTCCCTCCCCTCCTTCTAGAGATCTTGTAAAAGGTAAAATTGTATGTATGTATGTATGTATGTATGTATGTATGTATGTATGTATGTATATGTATGGTATTCAGCTTTACTCGGGTATTTTCCCACATCATTGTAGTTGTGCTTTCAAAGTTGTAGCAACGTTTCGGCAGAATCTCATCTGCCATCATCAGGCTTCTGTATTGTGTTCGTCTGTGAGTCAGACTTTTACAGTGGTTTCAGGTTAAATTTGGAGCTAGCCTATTGCTGTGTCAGAATGGTTTTTCCTTCATCCTGATTGGTTGGGAGTCTTGGTCTGTGTTTATTGGTGTTGGAGTTTGCTGTGTTCTGCTTGATTGGTGCTTCTAATATCTTCTGTCTGTTTTGTGGCTTTTTTTGTGTCTTGATTGGCTGGCAACATTGTGTTTCCTGTATTGGAGGCTTTTAGTGCAGCTTGGCTCCGAGTAAATGGATGGCTATCGTTTGTTAGGAAGCTGGGTTTTATCTGGGTGCCTGGTTGGGGTGTGTTTGAGCTGGAAGTATCAGGGGGAGTCTATTTGTGCCCAGGTGTTTGCCTGGCTTGTAGTGTGGAGATTTTTTTGTTTGTGAGTGCAGGCTTCCAAATGATTGACAGTCTGGTGGAATCATCTCTTCTATTCATGCTTTCAGGTCTTTTTTCAATCTCTATGGCTTCTCCTCTATAATTCTGTGGCTGGGGTTTTCTATAGTGGCTAGGGTTTGGGTGCCATTGAAGTTGATGCTATGACCTGTGGCTTTCATGTGTTGGACTAGTGAGGAAGTGTGTTCCAGCTTTTTTACTGCATTTTTGTGTTCATCCAGGCGGGTACTTATTCTTCTATTGGTCTGTCCAATGTATGTAGCAGGGCATGATGCACAGGGGACTTTGTATATGCCTTGGTTTTCCAGGTCAATTTTATCTTTGGGGTTTCTAAGGATGGCTGCTATTTTTCTGTCTGTTTTGAAGGCAGTCTTGATGTGATGCCTGTGTAGTATCTTACTGATTTTGTCTGTAGTACCTCTTATGTAGGGCAGGACAGCTGTTCCATAGGTCTGTTCATCTTCTAGGTCTCCGTTATGTCTCAGTGTGTTTTTGTGGATCAAGCCGGTGATTTTGCTTTTGTGGAAGCCATTGGCTGTCAGTACTTTAGTCAGGGTGCATAGTTCAGTCTTTATGTGTGTTTTGTCTGCCCGGTGTTTGGTTCTAGCAATTAGTGTTTTGGCCACGGAGTTTATCTGTGCTGGGTGGTGGTGGGATTGGGCGTTGAGGTAGCGGTTGGTGTGTGTTTTCTTCTGGTATATGGTGTGTCCTAGTGTGCCATCTGTTTTTTTGTAGATTAGTACATCTAGGAATGGTAGTTGTTTGTTTGTTTCCGTTTCCATGGTGAACTTGATTTTGAGGTGTGTGCTGTTTAGGTGTGTTAGGAAATTGTTTAGATTTTCTTTTCCATGAGGCCAAATCACGAATGTGTCATCGATGTATCTTAACCATAGTTTGGGTTTGTGGGTGGCATTAGCCAGGGCTCTGGATTCGAATTCTTCCATGAACAGGTTTGCAATGACGGGTGACAGTGGTGATCCCATAGGGGCTCCTTCAATTTGCTTGTATCTTTGTCCTTTGTATATGAAATATGTGTTGGTTAAACAGTGTTCTGTTAGTTCCATGAGGTGTTTAGCTGGTTGGTATTTATTTTTGATGATTTCAAGAGTTTCTTTTTTCGGGACTTGAGTGAATAGTGAAACCACGTCGAAACTTCTTGCTCCACGTGTAGATCTTTGATCATTTCCAAGAAGTGGTATGAGTTTTGTACATGTGAAGCTGCTGTTTCAGCAAGGGGCTGTAGCTGTTTTGCTAAGTGTTTAGCTAGGTTTTGTAGTGGTGCTCCTCTGGAGCTGACTATGGGTCTGAGAGGTATGCCTTCTTTGTGTATGTATATTCTTAAGTTTTCGCGGGTACGTACATGTATGGTATTCAGCTTTGTTCGGCTATTTTCCCACGTCATTATACTTGTGCTTTTAAAGTTGTAGCAACGTTTCGGCAGAATCTCATCTGCCATCATCAGGCTTCTGTATTGTGTTCGTCTGGCGAACGCCAAACAGCAGACGAACACAATACAGAAGCCTGATGATGGCAGATGAGATTCTGCCGAAACATTGCTACAACTTTAAAAGCACAACTATAATGATGTGGGAAAATAGTAGAACAAAGCTGAATACCATAATATATATATATGTACGTACGTACGTACGTATGTATGTATATATTGTTGTAATTCAATTAATAGCCTAATATTTAGCATAATCCATCAAGGTTTTTTTTTTAATATTTCTTATAGAGATGTTGATGGAGTGTACCTGGTAGTTGTGAAAACACCATACACCATGGGGTTCCTCTCGTCTCTTGTGGAAAGTAAGAATATGTCTTCTGCAACGGAAAAGGTTATTTCAGAGTTCAGATTATACACACTTTATTACATATCATGCCACGTGACGTTAATATTTTGGAAAAAAAGTAAGAGATGTACACACCCAGACACACATATACAACATCCATATTTTAGTTTACATGATGTTGTTTATTCACAGAGTGAACTACATCTGATTGAAATTACTAGATCACTTCAGTGGTAACTACCCCACAAACTGATGATTATCAATGCTTTGCACATGGTAAAAAAATGTTTGCCCAAACTCTAAAAAGTGCTATTTTTTATGTTTAAAGACACTACAGACAAAAGTATAAAATTTCAAAGAGTTAAGATAATTTAAACTTTCAGCTGTTGTGTTCCGAAATGATATTTTGTGATTCATCGTTACTTAAATCTTGAAATCTCCCCCCCTTTTTTTTTCCAGCACTGAAAAAGATGTAATTTAGCAATTAAACACAATGATGTAACATATCACAACCTATTTTTTTTTTCTTTTTTTCCTGTACCTGATTAACTCATGAATCTGGATTCATTAACTTAGCCCCAGCTCTGTCTCAAACCGTCTAGCCATTTCTAACCTTTATCATAGAAAAAATGAAGTTATATATATCATTTTTCTTCATATTCTTTTTTTCCTCCAAAAGTCTTATCTGATTATCTACTCTTAAGTGAAATAAAACACTACACACATTCATAAGAAGCAATCTATAGTATATTTTCCATTATTACTTTGCAGGATGAAGTCAACCATATGTTTCATTTGTCAAGATCAAAGAATGTATAAAGGAATTCAAGAATTTTTGATTGGTATCTGTTTTAAAAATTTGTACTCTTTATAAGCAATATTATTTTGGAAGCTATCACAGTAATAAAAATCACAATTATTGCAACTTTTCCTATTAATAAAGAAATGTTATTCACTTTTTTGGTCCAGATCAGCAGTCTGCTACTCAACTAGAAGAATCTTTCAGGTAAGTTCTATTCAAGATTATTCTATGAACGCCTTCTTTTTCCCCCCAAAGCAGGCAAGTATATAAATTCTCTTCCAAGGCATTGGGTTTTTCTCAATTCACACTGCTGCCTTCATTGAACGGTGCACCCTACAGCTCCATGACTAAATTCCATTCAGGTACGACTGAAATTCACTTACGGAGTTCATCAAAATGTGTATCAGCTCCTTCTGGACCTGGGATGGAGCAAACCAGCCTGGCTTTCAGGAATGTTGTCCACTTGTTGATCAGACTGCGTTGACCTCCAATGTCATTCTAAGAAAGGAGAATAGTAGTGCTGGTTAACAGGAAGGCTTCAGTCATGTGAAGAGAGGAGCAAATTTGGAAATGGTTATCCAGCCCATCTAAAATTTATAGTGAAGGAGAATTCCAGCCTCCACAGTAGGGTTTTCATCCTCAGTAATTTTTAGACCTGTGGATTTCAATTCCCAGAATTCCCTAGGCAGCTATGCTGGCTGGGGAATTCTGGGAGTTGAGGTCCATACATCTTAAAGTTGCTAAAGTTGAGAAATGTTGCAGTCTGTTCCATGGTTGATGTCCAACCAAAATCTTCCTTGGAATTTAAAGTTATCATTTCTTGTTCTATTCTGTCCAGTCTTCTACCTGTGGAGGCGTCACACAAGCTTAGCAATTTGCCAGTTCCAGAAAAAAATAATAATCAACCAGAGGCTGTGACTTTATTGCTTGGCATTTGGGCCTCAAAATTCAGTGATATGATTTTTAGGAGGAATTACCCAAAAATGATTTGGAGTTGTTATTGAAAGGCCAGTGCCCATGAGGGCCTAGAATCTCGAACTAAGAGGAAATTTCCTGACAGTGAGAACAATTAATCAATGGAACAGCTTGCCTCCAGAAGTTGTGGAGGCTTTTAAGAAGAGATTGGACAAGCATTTGTCTCAAAAGATCTAGGGTTTCCTGCCTAAGCAGGGGGTTGGACTCGAAGACCTCCAAGGTCCCTTCCAACTCTGCTGTTCTATTCTATTCTATTCTGTTCTGTTTTATTCTATTCAATTCTGTATCTTTGTATTGTATTGTATTCTATTCCATTCTATTATATTCACTATTCTATTCTATTCAGTTCAGAAACTGTGATTTTTTAAATGTTATTGGACTGCTCAGGAACATCTGGTTATGTTGACATGAAGGTGGGACTTGGGAAGGTCTGGAAAGATCTCCTCCAGCGATGCTATAATCCATGGGCACAGCTATTCTTGGCAACCCAGCAACTCTTATCTCTTGACCTATTCTTAAGAATGGCATATTGGTAATGAAGAGCCAACTGGGCTATTACATTCCCCTGTTCACTTTTTCAACTTCTTCCTCCCCTTTTAAAAACTGCATTCATGCCACGGGCAGTTGACGAAAATCCCAAAGTCCTGGCTGAACCCACTTGGAATGCATGGGTATCATTTGGCTGATGAAACAATAAAACTCCCTTTGTGCACCTTTCATAAAGCGTAGGAAGTTGTTCCTTTCGCCGAGACAGAGGAGCCCAGGATCTTGGCTCTCTGTTTACTCTCCTTCTGCAACTGGATCTATTATGACCACAATGGATTCAAAGGCTTGCCATCTGCTTTGCTGCATTTCTGGAACCTTCTTTTCACTACAAATAACCATTTTCTTAGCACCCACCGCTTATTAAACTCTTACCCTGTAACAGAATACTTCGCCTTGAAGTGCCTTGCTTGTCAGCACAAGGAAATAGCTATAAAATCTCTGTTTATCTTTGCACTTGGATCTTAGAAACCTACATGAAGGTTGTCAAATGGGAGGTGGATCATTTACCTTGAGAGATTGTTTACAGTCAATTACAGTCGATAATCATAGAGAAAACTGGAGCCTTCTCTCAAACAAAGACAAAAATAAGAAGCAACCCAGGGTAATTATACCTCTCAGTGTGCTCTCCTAGTGATACATAACAAAGGCCCCTGAGGAACTTTCTATGATTAAACAAAATTTGATGAACCAGGCTCTAGGTTTTTGCTACAACAAGTAAAATGGTTATCCTTCTAGAATCTGTTTCAATAGGAGACCTCTTAAAAGTACTGTTCTAGAAAGACATGTCATTACATTGTGGACCACCAAGTATCAACTACACAATCTCTTTGCTTGTGTTATAAATTAGTAGAAAACAGCTGCAGGAAATCTTGCTAACTTCCTACAGAAAATATGTTTCAAGGGCCTTTTATATAGCTTTACTTAATGTTTCATATGCTTTATATTCACCAAAAACCTCAATGACATCTCAAAACAGATTCCTGTAAAAAGCGCAGCTCAAATCTGCAACGCAACATTTCCTACGCTATATTGACAGCACTGTGTTGTATGCTTTTTTTAAAAAAACAAAAACCCAATCAATTATTTTCTCCTTTGGGAAAGTCTGAATAACAAACATCCTTGTGCACAAAGAAAGGAGATATTCAAAGATATGCCACTGCTTGGGATTGCACGCTTTACCATTTTCCTGCTGCAGGATGATATGATAGCAACACAAACGCCTTCAGCTCTTTGTACCCCATCAACAGTATTACTCATTATTATTTTATTCTTTTTCATTGACCCTTTGTTATTCTTTCCCCCCTCCTTATTTTATTCAACCAGGTGAAGTTGTTGAGTTAACTGGCACAAAACCCATGGTCAATGACGGGTTGAATCACAATCCTTCTAGAATTTAAACAATTGACTGCATTATATCAAAGAAATCACAGATCGTGTGATGTGTGATTTCTTGGCTATAATATAGTAGAATGTTTAAATTGCAGAAGGATTCAGATTCAAGTTCTATCCCTTGCTGACCATGATCTACAGGATGGCAAAGGGATCTGTGCATGCTTAGGCTCCACCAAGATGGAAACTGGATCCCACAGAAACAGAAAACTTGACTGGAGCAGGAACCAATAGTAATGATAATGTCAGACAGATCATCTAGCTAAAGAGATCGTTCCTAGCCAAAGAGACTTATGTAACTAATTTTCCAAACTTGGGAGCCCTTTTTCAGTCTTGTCCTTTGATATTAATAGTGAACCCCTCAGTTCAACCCTGAGCTACAAATATTCTCCTTTATTGAAAACGAAGAGTGCCCCAACAATTTATAAGAGTATCCATGATAAACAGGTAACCTCTGAACAAAACTCAGTTCACCTCTGATCATCTTTGGATAGGAATTTCACGTTCTTGCTTGAACACATTGCATTCAATGATTAATTCATCAAAGCCAAAAATGTTGCTGCGGACCTATAAAAGCAATGGTGCATTTAAAGTCAACTGTTTTATGGGGCTGATAAAATTTAAGCCTCTTTTTGTATTCTTTAATCATGGATTTACCAATCCATTCAGTATATTCCATATACTCTAACCTATCCTTTTACTTATTTATTTTTATTGGTATCCCCGATTAAGTTGGGTATGCAGAGCAAAGTTGAGGGATATTTATGTTGCAATTTCTGTTCTTTTTCTTTTGATTTCCATTTACATCCTGCTTCTTCTGCCAGGATCTCACTGTGACTGATGTTCCTCACATGCCTGGCCACAGGCATTAATTAATAAGAAACTTCCCCAAACTCAGCTTGTAATCTGGACAGACTTACACAGCTGCTCAGTGTAATTACTGCTTTTAAAGTGTAGTATATTTTCATTTTGCCCCATGTCCTCCACCTTAAATGTTGTCCAAAAGTTCTACTTTAGGCTGCTCTTTTTCTGGCTATGCATCATCTTTATTTATAGTAAGATTTAGTCTGCTGCAAGCTGCGATGTGCTCTTAAATTTTATTTTGACATCTTTCTTTGTATTTTTTTGTTTATGATTTAGATAGCGTACATTCTATATTCTGCATATTTTGATAAATCTAGTAAGCAGAGTTGCTTTGTTGTTGTTTTTTTATGCCACCCTGCAAAAGTAGCCAGATTAGAAGCATTTTTCTCGTTCTGGTTGTGTGCAAATGGAGACAATGCATTTCATGCTCTGGACACTTCTACCCGGGCATCTGTATCTTTTAGAAACTTGCTTAGTTCCTGCTAAAATTTCTCTACCACAAATACCAAGGAAATGTGGGACATGTTCAATCAGATGAAGCCTTCTGCAGGAAATCAAATATCTGTGCATCTTCTAAGCCAAAACTTTCAAATACGAAGCTATCTGTTTTTCTTAGGTCTGCCACGCTTTCCATGAGAAGATCATCCACACCCACTTCCTCCTTCTTCCTCTTTCCTTCAAGAGAAGCCAGGTGGTTCCTCAGACCTTAGCAGGTAACAGCGCTGAGGGGATACTGTTCGTTCTCAGAAGCTCCTCTCTAAATCTAGAGTTGAATGTCAGCCCTGGCCATCAAAACACACCCCAGAAGAAGACAGTGGCATCCACCGTTGCCAAGAACACTGCCTGGACATGTCTGTGAACTCCTCAGGACTTCAGCCTGGCTTAAAAGAAGCTTTGTGAGACCAAATGTGATGAATGCTCCGTTGATGAGTGAGCAAGGAAGGCAGACATGTATAAATGAAAGGAGAGATTAAACCTGTTGTGAAAGGAAGCCTACATTTCATCTAGGTAAATAACATCTTAGATCATGAATAATCATGGACCAAAGGTATGACAGCTACATACTACTGGATATAATTCATCTGCACAATTTCTAGCCAAAAGAGCAAATGTTTTCCCCGAGTGCCCTCGAGATGAGTTTAAGGGCTGCAGCGTAAATGGCATAACTCTTCCATGAGTCACTGTAGTTAATCATACTTAATTCCCTCACCAAATGAACCCAATCAGGCAAGGATCTATCAGTTTGATAAACAGCGTAAGAGCCAGAGGGACCAACGGAAACGTGTCTGTATCCATCGGGAGTATATTATTATTATTTTTAAAAAGTCTTAAATGTTCACGACATGAAAATACTAAAACTTTATAGTAGGAGGTAAATGAAAATCAGAGAGTGAGTGTGTGTGAGAGAGAGAGACAGACAGAGAGAGAGAGAAGAGAGAGAGAGAGCTAGGAAAAAAATAGTTTTAGATTCAAACAGTTTGTGCATCCATGAGGGGGAAATTAGGATTAGGGAAAAATGTCTGTGGAAATTCGCAGTCATGGTTCTCCCGAAGGTGCTTTTTTCAGAGTGGAAGGAAGCTCCTTGGATGAGAAGTGAAACATCGTCAAAGAAAGTCCAGTTGTGTCTTGAAAAAAGCACCTTTGGGACAATTAAGGAAAAAGTGCACTTCAAAATTTTGAATAATTAAGGTTTGGGGGTATCATAAGAAAGAGGAGAAACTCTTCAAAAGTTGAATTTTAAAAAAATGTATTCAGGTTGATGGCTGCTAGGATAAGGACAGGAGGAAATCACCGGTACTTGTTGGCCCGTTGGGATGTACCTCGGAGCAGGAGTCTCACCCCGCCTCCGGTCTGTGGAAAAATGATCTTCTGTGAAACCGGTCCCTGGGGCACAAAACGTTTGGGGATTGCTGCCTCAGAGGACAACTAACCCAATCCCACATTCAGGTAGAGCAGAGGTGGGGATCTGTGGCCCCTTGAGGACTTGTGGACTTCAACTCCCGGAATGTCTGAGTCGCCATCCTGGCTCTGGAATTCTGGGAGTTGAAGTCCACAGGTCCTCACCCCTGAGAGTTAGAGGAACTGCTACCCTGCTTGGAGCAGATGGCTGCTCAAAATTTCCGCTATCGGTTCTCCAGAACTGGTCAGAACCGGCTGAATATCACCTCTGGTTCCAGCCCAGATCAAGTCTATCCCCCTTCTCTAAATGATGATTCTTTAAATATATGAAAATTGCCTTTCTTTCTGCCTGCTGAACATACCCGGTTCGACCAACCTTCCCCTCCAAACTGGCAGCCAAACCTTTGGGAAGGAATAATTCATTATTTATTTCATTGTTTTTCCTTCAAAAGTCAAGGCTGTCTCAGAAATCAACGCAGGAGTAGCTCAGGGTTGGCAGTGGGGCTCCTTGGTGCTCTCTGAGCTTGGTGGTTTTCTTGCAGGCGTTTCCTGACCCAAACTAGAGGACACCATCAATACTCCACATTCAGCACTTTAGGTCAGGAAACGCCTGCATGAAAACAACTCAGAGAGGAGCAAGGACCCCTCCTTATTCCAGAACTCTAACCCCAGGCCCTTGTGGAAACCGGTGGTATCAGAGGAGGCCTCACCCTCAAAGCACCCTTGAAACCTAGAGGGCCTTCTCCCTGGGAATTCTGGCAGAAATAATCTCAGCCCTCCTGGAGAACATGAAAGGACCGAAGTTGGTCGGTGTAAATCTCAGTGGAGAAACTGCAGACCGAGAAAGAATTTATCAGTGCAATGTGTGAGACAAAACAAAAGGTTCTCACGTTGTTTGCGACTTCATTATCAAGGTCATTATCCTTAGAAGGCCGGCAAAAAGAATGTCCCGGGGTTAGATTGAAAGGAAACAAGAATCTCAGCTCCCATTCAGGTTACTTTTCTTTGTGGAAAAAAGTAGAATTTAAAATGAGAATATTTAAGTGGATTGGTTGGTTTTTGTTTTTTTTAATCTCAAATTTACGTAGACCCTGGGCAAGATGGGCCATCAGAATAGAATGGAATAACAGAGTTGGAAGGGACCTTGGAGGTCTTCTAGTCCAACCCCATAATGAAATGAAAATGTGCTAATAATCTAATATTTAATTACTTTAGACATTCACAATTCTAGGGTACCTTATCATACAGTGAATGTATGTTTGCCATTTATATTCAAGGCTTTTGCACAGAAAACGCCACTGGTTTTGTATTTTGTAAGCTTATTCCTCCACGATATATTTAAATAAAATGCAAAAACAAAGGTTTATACTGCATTTCACTTGATATTAGTGGGAACCTTCCAGCTTTTCCCAAGCAAAACAAGAAATGTCAGCAACTGCAGATAAACTACTGATAATTACTACTCCTTTTTTTAAAGGAAATTATCAAAAATGCCATTTGTCATGACAAATTATGCATTTCAGCCTGGTCATGAACACTGAAAGCATTTCCTCCCAATTTATAACCCTATCCCCCAGTGATAGGCCGAATGAAAAATGACGTAAAGCCAAATTAGGGTTTGTGTGTGAGCGCACCGGGTTGGTGCGTGTCTGAAATACACATTAATACGGAAATAGGGAAAAGCAGAAAACCTAGAAACCTGAAAGGAAGAAAAAGCAAAGATACACAAGCTGAAATCTGGAACCTCAGACTGGTTGGAGAGGATAAATATATTGGCAAAAGTTTTAATTGAAAGGGCAGCATCCTTTGAATCCAGGACAAGGAGCAACGGATGGAAACCAGTCAAAGAAGATTCTGTGGCTGGTAATTAAACTGGTTGCTATTTAATTTCATTATCAGCTACAAAATCTTAGCCGTGGTTCTGTGAATCCTAGGTAAGGAATTGCAAACAGATAGGTTTGTATTCTTTGTGCTGGGCTTATCTGACTAAGAGTGCAGGGCCAGCTGGAGCGATTCTAGACTTTACTATTAACCCGTATTATGATATGTAGGCTAGACACCACTTAAGGGGAAATTATCCTCTCCCTGGGGCCATTTATACTTGCTGAGGAAACTACACGATGGGCTTATTTTACAAAATCCGTATTGCTCACCTGACAGACGCGGCCGACGTAGGAAAGAATGGCTCGGTCGGAGGTGCTGGTCTCTTGAGAAACTTCTCGGAAAAAGAAATAGATTTTGTCATCGTCTGGATTATAAGTGTCTGGGATAGGAAAGATTCCGATAAACTTTGCTCCTGAAAGAAATTAAAAAAATAATAGGAACAAGAGTCACACCATTTCATTGTATTTTCTCATGCTTTAAACCCAGCGAGACAGTGGCAAAATAGTTTTAAGTTGATGCATTTCTTCACTTCCTGTTCCTCCTAACTGAATTTTTCTCTAGAATTTAGTATTGTCCTTGTAAGTTAGTCTACTTACAATCATTTGTTTAGCAAATATTTGAAGTTACAATGGCAGTGAAAAAAGTGACTTATGACCAGTTCTCACACTTATGACCATTGCATAACTTACAGTCATGTGTTCAAAATCTGAGCAACCTTACTTTAATGTCTTACTTTAATATTACATATGAGCAATAGCCATAGCACTTAGACTTATCTACTGCTTCACAGTGCTCCCTCTGAGCGGTTTACAGGGTCAGCCTATCGCCCCCAACAATCTGGGTCCTCATTTTACTGACCTCAGAAGGACGGAAGGTGAAGTCAACCTTGAGCCGGTCAGAATCAAACTATTGGCAGCCGGCAGAGTCAGCCTGCAATGCTGCATTCTCACCTCTGGGCCACCACAGTTCTAAAATATTATTTTAATGTTGAAAATCAGGTGTGATTCTCTGTACCACCAGCCTAACACAATGGCAGGGGTCCCAGGATGGGACATAGGATATAATTATTTGCCCTACAACCCTTTCGTTGTAGCTTTGCTCATTCCCTCTGCTTCCCCTAAACGAATAAACAAGCTAAAATAAACCTACACCTGATATTCTACCGGTGCTTCTACACATACACGTCTTAACAAGCAGCTGTATGTGTCCTTAAGGTGGAACCGAAGGGGCGATGTTGGGATCTGTCAAGCTACTTGCAGAAACCACTTTGAATGTTGCCCGAGGAGACCTCTGTCTGCAGATCAGTTCGTGACGGCATCAAGTAAAGCATATCCTGAAGCAGAGGTGGGATTTAGCCGGTTCTGACGAACCGGTAGTGTAAATTTTGCATAGTTCAGAGAACCGGCCAATCCCGCCTCTGACTGGCCCCGCCAACCCCATCTCTTCTTGCCTCCCATTGAGTCCCAGCTGATTGGCTGGGTCTCCTTTGGTTGCCCTGCCCAGGAGAACGGAAAGCAGGTTAGTGGGGTGGGGAGGGAAGGGGGATTTTGCAGGATCTCCTTCCCCTGCCACGCCCACCAAGCCACACCCACAGAACCGATAGTAAATGTTTTGGAATCCCACCCCTATCCGGAAGCAGCCTCTTACCGTTTAGCCAGTAGTGCTCAGACACATCCGTCCGGATGCAATGCTGGTCTTGCGATACGCCTAGAGATCGGGTGAGCGCCGTGTCCTTGCCAAGGAAGTCAGAGGCTGTTCCGGAGTAAAGATATCCATCTGCAAATAGGTGACAGGTAGAGAGAGAAAATATTTTTTTATTTCAGATCATGCAGCAGAGATGCCGGCCTTGAAACCTGTTTACCCAGAGTAGCCCATCTTGGTCCTGAATTGTCAAATGGCGGAAATTGTGCGTTTCCCAAACAGACGGCCTTCTCGTCCTTTCCCCAGGGAGACAGCGCTTGGCTTTCTTTTCGGAGAAAAATCACATTGTGCGGGGTTTTTTCCCCCCCTAAGCAATTAATCATTTACTGCAAGTGAGTATTTTGCTGAATAAATACTCTGCGCTGGTCACTTTGTAACTTTGTCGCTGGGATAGTGCAGCCTTTTTACAGTGTTTTATACATGGCAACCTAACATTCTTTGTTCGTGAATAATGATCAATACAGCTCAAAAGATACATTTGATTCATGAACGCTGGAAAAAGTGTTCCAGCATTTGGGATTCAGAAAATACAGGCCGGCCAACAGTCTCCAGAATGTTCACAGCCGGCCTCTTAAGAAGCAGAACAGCTCCATATTTGGAATTTTTATCAGCTCCTTTCAGTCCCTCTGAAGGGAAGGGATATCCAGAGGTATATGTCTGTGGAGCTTCTCAGTCATCCAGGTCGAAGGCATTTTGCTTCTCCTTCAAGAAGCTTCTTCAGTTCTGAATGTTCAGAAGTATTCGGTTCTTCTTCCTTCAGAACTGAAGAAGCTTCTTGGAGGAGAAGCAAAATGCCTTCAAGGGAAAAGAAACTCCAGTGGCCTTTGGAAAAAGCACCCCTGGGACATCCAGAGGTATAGATAAAACAGGGTTAAGATTGGGCCTATGATCACGCAACCACATCTTGGTTAAGGCATCAGACTAGAAACCAGGAGATTCTGAGTTCCAGTCCTGCCTTAGGCACAAAGCTAGATAGGTAACCTGGGGCCAGCCACTTTCTTTCAGCCCTAGGAAGGAGGCAAGGGCAAACCACTTCTGGAAAAAAAAAACCTTGCCAAAAAAACCTGCAGGGACTTGTCACCAGGAGTCAATTGTGGGAGCGCATAAACACACATTAAAAACAGCAAAATGGCAGAAATATCTCTCTCCAATAGCGTAAAAGGTGACTTTGGGTGCTTGGCAGCCCCATTGAAAGAGGCTTCTTTCTGATCTTCCAGTCCAGAAAAGAGTGAGCAAGGCACAGGTATCCTTCCCTCAATTCTATACCTACTAAAATATTATACACATGCAGCAATTTTAGGAGGAAAATTATCCATGTAAGCAATTTTTGTCTCTGCTGATTTTTACACACACTTGATCTCAATTTATCGAAACATTTCTTGGCTTCTCTTTGTGGATAATTTGCTCTTCTGCAGTTGTCTAATGGTAAAACAAATCATTTTTATCCAGGCTAAATTTCCAAAATTAATGCCATAATGATTCGATCTGAGTAAATGAGTTGAGAGGAAGAGAAACTGCACTTGGAGGGAGTAATCAAGCACCTCAATAAGAGAGGGGTGAAAAGTTTATAGGACAAAAATGTACAAAAGCATGCCCAGAAATGAGAGAAGGAAGGAATGTTTGCAACAACAGAAATGATAGAGAGGTGGAGTCCTCAGTGTGGAAATAAACTAGACCTGGGTTTATTTTTCTTCTCTCCTGTTTTTAGTTTTTCCCCACTTATTACTTCCAGCTCTCTCCCCCCCACCCCCACCCCTCTGCTTCTTGCATATTGTTGCTTCCCTAAAGAAACACTACTATGGGTGTGAACGTCTTCACGTGCATTGTTGATTCTACTATATCAACCTTCTCCTAATTGATCTCCTGCAGATTTTTGGATGACCATTTGGAGATCAACCAAAATATCTGGAGGGCATCAGATCAGGCTGGGTGTTCAGGGGCGTTTGTGCAGATTATATTTTGAAGCATCAAGAAGGAGTTTTAGTTTCCTAGACTTCCTTAACATGCTTTAACTTTTTTCTGTCAGTGGCTGTGGATGATAGGAAGGAAGAAGAAAAGTAGAACATCAGGATCCAGAAGAAGCTACTTCAGCAAGATAAAACAAGGAACTGTTGTCAAACTTAGTGATTTCCAAAGGATTTATTTCAATAAATTATATCTCACATGCATGGAAGGGGTATTCAACAATGATTCTCTTCCTATTCAAGGTGCTTGAACAAGTCCAATTTTCTTCTTTCTTTCCTTCCTTCCTTCCCTCCCTCTCTCCCTCTCCCCCCCTCCTCTCCCTCTTTCTCCCCCTCTCTATAACTAAAAAGACACTCTGGCAGGTAAAAACCCATAATGAAGAATGAACAGTATAATGAAAGTCTGCCTATTGACAGACAGACTAAATGATGGATAAGTCAAAGGGCTAAAAGAAGCAACCCACCCCTGCTTTAGCCTTTGATGACAAGGTCCTTTCCACACCAGCTGCCTTCTTTGTTCTCCTGCAGGTCTGTTATTTTGATGCAGACCCCTTGGGAAAAGCTTGTGATTAAAAAGTAAACTTCAACTAGGGATAAAAGCACCCCAGAGAGTGCTGCATCTGACATATAAGAGCCAGGTTTTAAATGAGAGAATCAGCTCAAGGAAGGAGTCATAGGATACGATTTAATTTGGCACTATTCCATGATTGTTGGTCCCTTTTCAAGAGTAGCTCTCACAGTAAACTTCCACAAGGGAAGAAATTGCGACAGTTCTCCAGAAAAGTGAAGAGCTTTTGAAAGAGGGATTTGTTTGTTTTTTCCCCCTGACACTTCTGTGGTCTGTCAGTCCACATATAAAAAGCCTGAAGATTAAGGGCTTGGTTTATATTTTACCAGGGCTGCATGGCGTCTACTTTGAGCTGCACCAGCTTTGTCTGTAGTGGGAAGTTCCTCTACAGCTTTGGTGGAAAGCATGAGAGGTGCCCAATCCAGATGTTTGTGGTGATGTACTGAAAGCTTCGCAGGCCACAATAGGAGAACTCTACCATCTCAAAAACAGCTCATTACAGGACAGAGGGTGGAGGCCTTTAATTTGAGTTGGTCCCGGATAAGGAGTGTCAGGGTCAAGTTAAAGTCACAAACAACCTATATCTATATTACAATGTAGAATGGGTATGTTCCAATCCAGATCTCCACGGCTTCTTGAATTAAAACTGGAGATTTCAATTGAGTTAGAAATGAGCCCTGAATCGGTGACGCATAGTGGGAAGACATCAAACTCTTTGTAAGCTTCTCCTCCTCCTCCTCTTCCTCCTCCTCCAATTTTCTGGTTCTTCCTCTTCAAAGTATTGTGGCCAGTGTCAACGAGAAGCTAGGGCCCAACGGCTAGTAACCTAACGGGCAAATTGTGTATCTCTAACAGACACTGTGTCCTAACTACAAAATAATCAGCCTTTAGAGTGCTCATAAAATCCTTAAATGGCTATTTGGATGGCTAGTATTGGATTAATGGTATATATAGCTAGGCCTCCACAATACAAATTAAATTGCAATATATAGATATACCTGGTTGCTTCTGACGAGCTTTTTATGTGATTTTTATTTACCAAATGCTGATATACTCTGTTCTGTTGAGTGGAGATATATTACTATAGGCCCATCCAAGGTGCAGCTTGCAAGATATGATAAGAAGTCAATTCCATCCCGTGAACCATCAATTTCCTCTGCCTTCCCCAGGCATGATTTAGTTCTGAAGCTTTATTAGTGGATTTCTAACAGTTTTGAGACCAGAGAAAAGGGATTATACTTAATTGGCTGAGACTCGTTCTCAGATAAGGGGATTTTCAGTTCAGATTTCAAAATCTCTAGTATTAGAAGCATACTTTAGGAAGTAAGTGAATCAGAATTCAACTTTATAGATTCAGCTTTGGTTATCTTAAGCACCTACTAATTCAGCTCTTAAAAATGCCATTTGCCCTGTGACATTTCCAAAGAGGACAAGATATGTTGAGAAATTTACTATCCATGGAATCTCTGTCTTCAAGAAAAGAAAACTAGAGATTCTCCCAATAATCATTAAAAAAATCTTTTACTACCACTTTGAAAATGTAAAGCACTTCAAGACAGACAATCCTTACAGTTTGGGGTTCTTTATTTTTATTTTGTTTAAATAATGGATGACTTAGACCTTAGCAAGGTCAGGATTCGGAATTATCCACCTCATTATCTGAGAATAAAGGACGAATATTTATCATATTCTGTTTTTGAACTGTGACCAATCTTTCAAAGAAACAGAACATAACATCTCTTCTGCCATAAATTAAACAGGGAAAAAAAAGGTCAGGTACATTCTTCTTATCTTACAACAAGACATTATAACTTGATGGACAAGTTAAATGAAACCGGGCCAAAAGAAAAAAAGAAAAAGAAGTAGAAAAGAGGCAGTGTCTCAAAGGAAATTCTTGGTCGTGTTGAAGTGAAGAGATTAGTCTAGCATTCCAGGATGGCAGATACCTGACTCCACCAAATATGATTCTAGGACAGGAAGAAGACAGAGTGATATTGTACTTTGACAGGCTGCTCTAGGCTAGGATTTTAGCAATACAATAAGGGCAGGATTTTCTTCCACATGAAATGCACTTAGCAGGGAGACATCAGGGGTCACTATGGAAGCCACGCACAAATGGAGCCTACATCAAAGCTAGGATTTGGCCAGAGAGTCCCCAGACTTGCATTTTTCCCCCTGCAAACTTCTCTGATTTGCATGGGGATACCTGCACTTCTCTGAATTTTGCGGTGTGGTTCTCGGATTAAAAAAACAAACAAACACACTGACATTCATACAGGGGGGACAAGCCAGACAAAAATGTATAGATTTGAAAATGTAGACAAATTGGTGGTGAAACCCGAGCCGCAGACAAGGCTTTTAAGAAGTTAAAACAGACACACAAAAAATGAGGCAAAACTAACACTCTGTGGGAAATGGAAAGATTCAGCCATTCTTAATTGAAGGGTTGGGTAAATTCATCTCGCATTATTTAAGGCCAATGATTCTGCAAGCAGATCTCTGAATTTTGAGTCTTTCCAGATCTCATAGTCTCATAGATCCCTTTCCCTGGAGTTGCTCAGAAGCTAAACTACAACATTGTGGTTGAAAAAGCTTTGTCCCAACATTGATCAATGATGCTGTTCTTCAAAAAGTGACTTTAAGGCTACAGTGAAGGCCAGTTTTAGTATTTATGGCCTCCCAATCCAATTCTTAATAGTAAATTCTTGTAGAACGTAGCACATCAATTTCACTTCCGTTGCTATGTTTAGGCAACAGATTTATGACACTTCAATGACGCAAAATCTCTGAACTTGAATGGTGCACTATTCCTATGCTTGCAGAAGGTATGTGCACATGAATAATCTTAATCAACCATTTGCAATAACCTCCTTAAAATAGAGTTTATTTTAAAACAATATTTGTTTATATGAAATCTAGATTGTCAGGTGGCAATACATTTTAAAAATCTTCACATTTGCAGCAGAAGCTAAGAGCATCTCTCTCTCCTCAAAGTCCTTTTAGATAAGCACAAACTGCTTCCTGTTTTCTCTTCTATGCCTGGTTATTTATTTGTTAATTGGCGAGGTTTATACCCTGATTTTTTTTAGGGGCTTCAGCGACAGAAATTGGCAGGCAGAGCATAGCAAGAAGTATCTTCCAAGAGAATCTAAGAGATCAGCCAAGCAGGTGTTTTTGCAAGCTGCCCTAGAAACCAGAAAAATCTACTGAGCTTGCAAATGCTTTCTAGCTCCGAAAAGCATCTGTTCTTTTGATTATTTTTACACGCAGTGCAATGAAAGGAGTCTGCTGCTCACTCACGAAGCTTCTCAGGAATATGAATTACTAAACACATCTTGGGGCTCTACCAGGAAACCCTGGCCCTACTCCAAAGTTTTCACTTAATCATAACTAAACAACATGATTTTACTGCAGTGAAATGATATTGATGTTTTATTGATTATAATGCGTAGACCCACCACAAGGAAGGTTGTCTTAGTTCCAGCCTTGCAAGGCCAGAGCCTTCCTTGCCCCTCTGCCCCCTAATATATTTCCAAGGAAGACACCCTGCACCCGCTCCATAAGGTACCATCCTTAATCTGAGCAGATAAGAATCTTGGTCTAAAGC